ACATCTTTGAAATTTGCACTTTGTCATTTAGAACACTTATCAAAATTATTATATGCTGTGTGTAGTTGGAAAGAATGGATATATATATATATATATATATACACACACATAATCTGTTTTATCTCTATCCTTACAAATTCCACATCTGCTTGATATGACTATCCATGTCTGGTAGAGATGTGCTGAAATCGCCACAGATTTCAGATGTGCTGAATTTTTGTATAACCTTTTATCTTATCCTTTAATTTTAGATGTATCTTTTTAAAACCAGCAAATAGATTGATTCCATTTTCCTAATCCAATCTGATGTTTCTTTATAACAGATTTTTTCTTAGATTCATTGTGATACATTTGAACTTACTACTATCACTTTTACTTTTTTTCCCTTCCCTGACTTCTTTTGGATTTATGGTTTTCTATACTCCCTTTCTTCCTCCTCTGTTGTAGACCTTTAAAATTTTTGGTCATATATTCTCTCTACTGTGAAGGTCACTTCTGTAATACTGATATTTTAAGCTAAATCCATAGCATTATAAAGGTATCCAGCTGATACATCACAGCAATTTAATATTCACCATCACTTCTTAAAATAGTTATTGAAATTTTATGCTATTTCCAATATCTCCATTATACTTTCCCACGTAATTTTATCTCGTTGTAATATAGTGTATTGCTCGAAAGTCTTTTACTAATAGTCTATTATACATCTCTGACTCAAAATACATGAAAAACATTTATTAAAATAAAAATATTTTTAGAAATTAAAAAAATACATTTCCCGTAACTATATACTCCAAGTGTTGAAGAATGTTTAGATTATCATTATCATTCAAATGATAAAAATATAAATATATTATTTTAATAAATTATTAAAAACACAAAATTGCTTTATTGGAAATGTATCTTAATGAGGATAGTGCTGGATTTTCTTATTTTCATGAATATTGCTAGTTGCTAGAATAAGACATCTATTTTACTACTATCTTCTATGTATAATGTAATATATAACATATAAAATGTTTACATATATAACATATATTATGTATAAATATGTAATATGTATGTATAAATGCTAAGAAAATTCATTCACATATATAGAAAAAAGGGATAGAAAAATTTCTGTTGTAGTGATGCCACTGAATTCTCGGACTCCTTTTGTTATAAGCCTACAATTATAAACTGGCTCTGTCATCAGATTATTTTTAATGATTTTAATCGACAATCTGATGGAGGTTTCTTCAATTTTGTTCAAAGCAAAGAACTGAAAACTACCCTCACTAAAGACCTTGTTTTCAAGCCATTTTCCTTCTCAATTCTTTGGAAAGTTAACCAAAGATGTTTATTATAAAAACTTACCTATAACTTTTCTAAATAGAATCATCTTGCTTATAGAGCTTAAAATTAAGACAAAATGGAGTAAATATGCCCCCCAGAAAATTGGAAATTGCAAAGATTTCTTGAGAATAATTATATATAGATTAGAAACTTGACGTTTAAAAAGGTTATATTTTTTACAGAATTAGGATAAAATATAAAATATCTTAAAAGGAAGAATTAATCATAACTAAGTAAAGCTGATTTTCTAAAGTTAACTGTACTATGTCTTAGTGTACATTTTGGGAATATTTATTCCATTTACCTATATATGTTATGCTTCTGTGATTATTGTTTATGGTATTTTTATCAAACTAAGATACACATTTTAACATTTCTGAAATTGGGATGCATCTTAACAATTGATGGCATATCATAGTTTAGTGTGTAGTGTTTTTACTAAGTGGTATGTAACAGTGAATCACAGAATAGTGCCTTAGATTAGATGAAAATTTAGGTTGTGGAAATTAGGAGGAAAAATATATTGAATCACTAGTAAGCTCAGGGAATATGTGAAGTGTACCAATGACTATTATGGGTTTTATTGTAAATAAACGGAATATGTTAATTTAAACGTAAATACATATTAAGTATGAAAAAAGCATAGGAAATAAGGAGGAGACTTGGGCTAGGTAAAAAATTAATAAGGATTTATAGAATCTAGTAAGGAACTGGCAAAGTTTAATAAGTTTCTCCTAAGAAACCTGAAAAATGCTCTGGAAAATATGCAATCATGAACTTACCTTTGGTATGTGATCTATTCATTTGAAAATCTAGTATTAGTATGTCAGAAATAAACATGAAACTTTTAATTTCTTCCTCCTTGAAAACATGCTAATTATGCCATTGAGACAGGTTTGAGACATATTTATCAGGCTCTTTCCCATTATTGAGAATGGTGAAAAAAGTTTGCTTGGCAGCATTTACCAAAACCCATCATGCTTTTGAACCAATTTTGAATATTCTAAGACAGACGAGGCAAATAATCTTATTTCTTTGTTACCTAAAAATAAGGTACCTTTACCTTCATGTTATGTTCTTGCTCTTTGCTTTACTTTCACGATTCACCCACAGGGAAAATGATTTTTTGATCAGAAAAAAAAAAGGCAAGGTCATTAAACAAGAACTATCATTATACTATCTCCTACTTGACAATACATCTGAATTCTGAACATCTCCACATTGGCCAATATAATCCACTTCTAAGACCACACTTCTGTCATTAATGAAAATTAACTTCTACCATATTTTAAATAGAGCAGTCAGAAAAAGATCTGTTCAGGTTGCAAGGGAAGGGATGTAACTCCACATCTTGGGGTAGTGCAAGGTTCTGGATGAGTAGGTGGGACCTGAAATACTATTGGGATCATTTCTGGAAAACAGAAGCTGCCACAGGTTTCTTATGTAAAGTGGGAGAAGGGTTACTATGAAAAGGCAGAAGATAAAAAAGGAGAACTGGCATAATTCACTGAACATGGAAATGTTCTTTAGGGAAATCATTTTAACAGAGGGTATATATGGGAATTGAGGATCTGGAAAGGTTTTTATGTTTGCATTTCCCTTGGAAGGCTGAAGACTCCCAGAAGTACGCACACCCTTGTTTGAAGACCCCACTACAGATTATACTTCTGTTCCTTAGTTATCTGAATACTCAGGAAGCATACTTAACTAAAATCTTTCCAACTTATATAGCATTTCTACGGAGGCAAAAATGAGTATTTTGAAACATTAAAACAATTATTTTTCATTTTAAATAATGATCAATTCCTTTCATTCAGGTAAATAAAAGATAGGCTAATAACAGAAATAAATCAAAGTATCAATGTTGCAAGAACTTGGATAACTGAATACACTACCAACTAGAGCGAAATAGCAATGCACCTTTCTGAGGATTAAAAAAAAGGTTTCTCTTAAGAAAAATCAGAAAAGGTCAGATCTCTGGAAGTATATGTTGGGGACTTGGCAAGAAAGAAATTTTACATTTAGTTTTTTAACATTACACTTATAGTGAAATAAAATGCACCTAAACTACTAGAACCTTTACAATTGGTGTATCTTCCAAATATGAGATGAATACATTGGCATAAAGTCCTTCCTGACTTCCTTTTTCAATCTTTGCCAATAACCCAGTGATCTCTAAGAGGTGGTTTAATAATTATTTCCAAATGCCACTTCCTAAAGATAGTATTTACCTATCAGTTCATTAAAAGGTTTATAAAAGTATTTTACTTGCTCTACTTTTCATCACACATCATGACCTCAAATAATCTGGAAAGACAAGGTGTTAAGAGAATAAAGACATTTCCTTTAAAATATTGGGGAAAATTACTAAGTTACTATCTGTTTTATAGAGGAGACAAGGCAGAGCAATATCGTAGTTATAATCTGAATGTCTACATTCATTCACCAAATATTTATTAATCACCTACAATTTCCCAGACATCATTCTAGGACCTGAGGCTCTATAGGGGTGAATGAGAAAGTAATAGCTACCATTTATTGAGTGCTTACTATGTGCCAGGCTCTGGCTTAAGAGTTGCACACATATAAACCTATTTAATCCTCAAACACAACACCTCTATGACATGGGTACTATTTTCATTTTACATATGAAAAAATTGAGGCATAGAGAAGTTAAATAACTCATCCAGCTAGTAGTTGGTAGAAACAGTCCTGGCTGTTGTGGAGCTTCTATTTAAGTTGAACTCCCTCCCTTCTCATTTTCTTCTTTGCCTCTGTGAAAGACCTATCAGAAGAGAGTATGGCTCAAATAGGTGGTGTGACCAATTCATTTTTAGATGTTTCTTTTTTGGGGTTGTTTAAAAAGAATTTTAACTAGCTCTATCTTCATCATGGTGTGCTCTCAAAATATCTAAAAAACCTGAATGTTAGAAGACTTAGTTTTGTTTAAATATTTGGGGAAGAAATATTTAATATAGGTATATACACGTAGCATCCCTTCCTTTGGAAAACCACTTTTCTGATCCAGGCAAGCCTAGTGGGGCTGATTATGGGAACTTGTCTCCTTATCGGGGAGGTTATAGTTCAAGGCCTCACTGCCTTGGGCTTAGTATTGGTTCAGGACTATAGAAACATGATCCAGGCATGACAATTTTGTCTTTCTTGGGATCGGCAGTGTTGGGAAATGTTCTCTTCACAATGGAAGTGATTTCAGACTGCTGGTACCCATCTTCCTTGGCTCAAGAAAAAATGACCCCATAATACTGAGAGATGTTGAGAAATTCAGATACAGAACACTTTAATCTAGCTATGCAAGAAACAGACCTACCATTATCCTTTCTAGTTAAATGAGTATAAAAAGAATACCCTCTTTTACTTAAGTGGGTTTCTGTGACTTTCAATCAAGTTTCAATGCATTTTTTACAAAAGCATTACATAAGTATGCACAAAGAACAATGTATAATAAATATGAATAGAATTCTCTTCTGTTCTCTTCCTTCACCCTCTTTCCCTATGAACAAATATAGAACTAGCTACAGCTCAAAGGATGGTTTATTTCATTTTCAAAAGTAGTATGCAAAATATTTATCTATGAATTCTAAGCAAATGATTACAGGCGTTATTTTGATAATTCTACTTCTTCAGCATATGACAAAACCACAATATATCTAGAAAGACAAAATGTTTTATTTTAAAACATTGGAAAAACCATTGGAAAGACAAATGTCCATTATATAACCATGAATGTTAAATATCTGGAAACTGTGAATCTTCTAAAATGTGGTAGGCACTTCCAAAGAGCTAAATATTGCAAATTATTCTACCGTGTCTTCTCTATTATCAACAATATTTGATATGATGAAAAATACCAAGAAGACCCAACTAATTATTCAAAGTCACCATCCTAGGGTTCAACTTAATTACACAAGTAAAAGCTTTGTCCAAGATGTTCCTGTCACAAGAAGCTTCCGGGTGAATTTCAGAAATGTTAACAAAAGTATCTTCCTTTTTTGCCTGTGAATGTTTGAGTATTGCTGTACTGTTGGTTAATATCCACTACAGATACTGGTTCTAGGCCAGCCCAAGGGTCTTCAAGCATTGAAGGCTTGAAATAACTTTCCAACTCATTAGACATTCTTTTTTCTCTACCACGCCCTGATCCAAATGGTGTAGATGTCCTTGGAGAACCCTTTAGGAAAAAAATCATCAGTTAAACAAAGGTTTAGTAGAGATAATTGGCACTTTTTTCTTTTAAAGCTAGTGGGGATCACATTGCTAGTTAAAGGTTGTGTTCTGAACCCAAAGATGTTCAACTGCAAAGTCCATTCCTCCTTTAATCTAGTTTTGTTTCTAAAAGTATTTAAGCCAGTTTGACATACTTGTTTATTAACAATTCCATGCCAACTGTCATCTTCAAATACTTCTAGATTTCTAGTGTAGGAACTTTGCAGAACTATCAGTCGGTGATGAAATAAGAAGAAGTTAATTATATTTCAGTTTTCCCTCAAAATTTCTCTTTTTCTGGAAGGAAATTAAAACTTTTCTTTTTTAACCCTACAGCTTCAAAACTTCTAGAACTGTTCCATCCTATGAAATTTTATCTCTTTAGCAGCGGATTCAGAAGGGATGAGGTTGATTTAGTATAAGGCAAGTAAGAAAACCATGAAGTTTTAAACGACAGAAATCCTAGACACATCAGAAATACCCCCTCGGAATTCTCCTGAATTCACACTTACTGAGAAGAATGGGAAAGTTTTAAAATCACTGATTTCTTTCAATAAGACTTGGAGCAGGAGCCAGTGTCGTTTGAAGCTTCCGCCCCCTCCCACCGCCCTTGCCTAAAAAAGATACCGGTTGTAAGAAAATGGCACCAGGCTATAAGCTCTCGGCTGGGGACTCACTCGTTTCCCCGCCCCACCCCCACCCCGCCCCAAAGAACAATTTACTCAGACGAACTGGCAAGGTCCCTGGCAAAGGAGAGGGAATTAGGGAACGCTGTGTATGATCGGCAGTGTACTGGTTCAAAGCAGGAGGGCTCCAGAAACAGAAAGTACCGCTGTTACTTAAGATAATCTAAAGAAAGTTACTTAACTTCTCTCAGCCTCAGTTTACTCATTTGCAAAACAGGGCCAACCATAGTATCTCACCTCATAGAGGATTAACCAAAATAACCCATGTAAAGGGATTATTAGTACCATGCCTGCCATACAGTAAGAGCTCGGCAAACGCTGGCTAGTATTACCTGGGGGTGGGTCTGCTGCTGCCCTGGGGAGTAGCCGAATTGCTGCTGGGACCCCGCGGGGGACCTGGAGTAGGAGCCAGGGTAGCCGCCAGGGGACGGAGACCCGAATCGGCCCCCCGGGAAGCTGCCGCCGTGTCGCGGAGAGTGGCTGCTTCCGTAGGGCCTAGACCGGGGCCCGTACGGCGGCGTGTGGTGCGGACTCCCGTAACCGTCCCGAGGGGAGGGCGGCCGCGATCCGCCTCCGCCCGGGGTACCCCGGAAGCTGCTCCCGCTACCCCAACTTCCTACACCCGCGCCGGGGTAGGGAGGAGTCGGGGGTCGAAAATTCTGCCGGTGCATCTCAGGAGACGAAGACGAAGACCTCACTGCCGCGTTCTCCCGCCGGAACTGTCCCGACCAACCCTTCTCAGAGACTCGGTGGTCCTTTGCCAAAACAGTCCTCTGCCTTCCAGCGCGGTACAGCATATTGGTTCCGGCGTATCAAAGGTTCCGCTAGGCGCAGGCTAGTAAGCGGGTTACTGAACTGGGTGGAGATTGAGCGGACTTAATAAACGAACGAGAAATAAAAAGGACAAAAGAAAGGCCGAACCTTCGGCTCCAGCAAAGGGCTCTGTCGTCTCCTGCGGTGTGCTGTAGGGACCGACTGCACACTGCCGGACGCGGCAACGCGGGATCCGAGGCGCTTGGGCGGAGCTCCGCCCGCCGGGGACCGCCCGGCTGGGGGCGGGGCCTGATGTGCCCGCGGGCGCCCCCAGTGGCGGCGCGCGGCGCGCCCGCGGCGCTCCCTCCTCACGCCGGGACCCAGGCTCTCCGAGAGGCGTGCGATGCGGGCGGCGCTGGCGAGGGTCGCGGCTCTGCGGAGAACCCGCCTTCTCTTCGGCCCGGGCGGCGGGAGGGGGCTGCGCACCGGCCGCCCGCAGTCAGGTACCCTCCGACACGCGGTCCGGGCGGCGAAGGGGGCCCCACGCCCCAGGGTGCCCTGCGGGCGGCGCCACAGGGAGAGCGCCCGCGCTCGCCCGAAGGGTGTCCGGTCCCCGCAGCGCGCCCTTTGGCCTCTCCCGCCTCCCGGGGCCCTGGCCCGTCGGCGCCGCGCCCCCGGCCGCCCCGGGGCCCCCCTGCCCGTGCCCCGCCGGGGGGCCGAGCGGCCGTCGCCGCGGCCCCTCAGCCCTGCCCTGGGTCCCCGAGTTGAAGTAACTCTGGGAAGGCGCACCCAGCGCGCCGCGGGAAGGGTTGGGAGCACGGCCGCGCGTGGCCTGGGGAGAGCCTGTGGCAGCTCCTGTCGGACTTCAGCCCCTTCCTTGTTCGTGGCAAATGGAAGCGGGCTCGGGAGGAGGCTCCCGGGCAGACGTGCCGGTTCTCAGCGGACTCTGCCCAGAGCTCTGAAAATCGCGAGTGTTTCACGAACTTCTGGTCATAAGGACAGATGTGCGAATTCAAGAACGACACCCGCTGTGTAATGAAACACGCTTCTGTACCAGACACCTGTCCCGGAACTTTAGGAAAATGCAGTTTAAATTGACTGCCGTTTTAAAGAACTTTCTTTCCCCCCTCAGAATCTGGGGATCAGCCCACTAGGACTCTTGAGATCGGCTCGGAGGAAGCAGAACCTTTTTTTTGTTTGTTTGTTTGTTTAATGTTTTATTTATTTCCAGGAGAGAGAGAGAGAGACAGCGTGAGCAGGGGAGGGTCAGAGAGAGAGGGAGTCACAGACTGAAACAGGCCCAGGCTCCGAGCTGGCAGTCAGCACAGAGCCCGACGCGGGGCTCGAACCCACGAACCGCGAGATCATGACCTGAGCGAAAGTCGGACGCTTAACCGGCTGAGCCCCCCAGGCGCCCCCGAAGGGAGCAGAATCTTAAGGAACTTTAGGACTCCTTAAATCAGAGCCGAAGGGGGCGGGGGCCCCGCTTTCCGGGCCGTGCACCTCGCAGCTGTCACTCCGTACTGTCTCTCCGCGCCGGGGACAGGCCCGCCGGAGCGGGCCGCCTTCTGTCTTCCGTCCCTCTGCAGAAGTGGACACGCACATGGTTTTCTCGTTATTTATTCTGAGCAAGTTCCATTCACCACATCTCTCCTTTAGATCCAAGTTGTGGAACCGATCCGGGCCGGATAAGGCCATCAAGGCCTGGTGACGCAGCCAGGGCTCGAGGGCCCAGATGATCTACTTTATTATGCATTTCTATCTTGGCCAACAGTTTACCTTTAGGGCATTGTCTTTGATGCTCAGTTTAATGCCTGGGAATTGAGCAGTTAGGGATTTACTGATTTAACGATTGGTCACTACATTATCAGTGATACCTGCCATGTTATTAACCAATCTACTTTCTGGGGGACAGGGAGCAGAAAAATGAGGGTGGTTGGGGCTGAAATTACCTTTATTAATTTTTTTTTACAACTGGCAAATGATTTGCGGAATTGATTAAAATACTGTATCTTGTCTTCTTACGCTTTGAGAATGACCGGTGTTTTGTTATCGGCTGCACATAAAATTTGCATTAGAAAGGGGGTGGGAGGGGCGCCTGGGGAGCTCAGCCGGTTAAGCTTCTGACTTGATTTTGGCTCCGGTTCTGATCTCAAAGTTCGCGGGATCCTACCCTGTGCTGATAGCACTGAGCCTAAATGGGAGTCTCTCTCCTTTCTGCCCCTCCCCCTCACACACATATGTCAGTCCGCTCTCTCTTTTTTCGCTCAAAATAAATAAAGACTAAAAAAAGGGGCAAGGGAAAGAAATAACTGCAGAATTTTTGACACGTACATTATACATGACAGTGCACCCTTTATCAGGTTTGCAGATACATATGAGGATTGAGGGAGAGTTCTTAATAATTATATGAAAACTGCATATTCCACTCGGATCACTTCTTAGGGTAGGCCATTTGCCTTTTTAGAGATGAGAAGTAGCCCAAGAGAAGTTAAGTTGACTTGCTCAAGTTCACATAACAAACAGAAGTGCGAAGAGAACTCAGGCTTTTTGAATCCCAGATTTTTTTCCCTAAGTCAAGATCTATGAATTGGCAATCACTCTGTCCTTTGGAAAATGCAATAGATAAATCAACATGTAAGTTTTTGAAAATGCTGTGTAACATATTGTTTTAGATTTAGAGATTAGTGGGTATAACCTTAATATTGCATGTTTATAAGTGTAGCTAGAATCTTCCCTGGTGTTAGCATAGGACTTGAAATGTGGTTGCCTGAACTGGTGGGTCTGAGGCATCTATTTGTATTGAATTTATTTGTATGGTGGTGAGTTCAGGGGGAGAGAGGAGGGGAAGAGGGAGTAGAAATGTGAAGAACTGGGATGATAGATATGAGGGTTTGATGGCCGCCCCCATGAAGTCTGAGTCCTGTGGAGAGAAAGGGACACTTCTTATATTTGTGAGCAACAGAGGTTTGACACCTCCCCCCCACCTCGCCCCCCTAGAGAGAATTGCAGCAGTTTAGGGAGTATCAGCATTAGCAAACAGGATACTGGATAGATCGGTGCTTTCACGCAAGACAGTGTTTAGGTACCTTTTTCAAGTGGCATTGTGTACATAGGACATCAAAAGACAGAGCATCAAGAACTTTCTGAGTACCTGTAAACAATGAGGAGCCCTACAAATAATTGGTTAATTTTATGGTATTGTGCATCTTACAGGTTTCATATTAATGAAAGTAAGAGTACCAAGCCAAGGAAATTTAAGTGAAAATGTAAATGGAACCATGTCTGTTTCTGTAAGATAGGATTTTTATTTAGGTTGCTTGAGATTTTTTGGTGGTTTCTTTCTTTCAGTGGATTTCAAGTGTTTTTTTGTTTGTTTGTTTTTTTGGTAGGGTCTTATCTTCAAAAAACATAACTGGAAGTCCTAATTATGAGAGCAGATGGGCTGTGCTTGAGGCAGGACTTGGGGTTTCAGAGCCCTGCTTACTATGCACCTCTAAATGCCCCCCTGAAGAGAGGCTTCTGAAGGAATTCACCTCTTCCTTACCTCTGAGGAATTCCCAAGGCTCTCTAGAAAAGAGTGTGAAAGCCAATATTTTAGGAGGTGTCAGATATTAACAAGGGCTGCAAATATAAATATTTTGGCTTATTTTATTGTATATTACCAAGAAGTGTATATTTTCATGTTTCTGCCTGATCACGGCTTCCTATGGTCAAGAAAATCAGAACCTGGATTAAAGGGCAAGACTTGGAGTTAAAAGATTGTTAAGAGATTAGGCTGTTAGAGAATGCCCAGGAAGTTTATGTTTCTATTTCAAAGGGGTATAAAACTCAGAGCCTTGGAGACATTCAAGATTGAGATTGTAAAGCTGTAAAATTAATCTCTCCTTCTTTAAAGTTAATCTTCTCTCCCTGAGACATTTACTTACATTCCAAAGGGTAAGAACTCAGAGACCTTCCCTTTTCTTCCTAAGGAAAGTTTGCTTACATTAGGAATACTAGCTTTTTTCTGCCTTTTTCAGGGAAAGGTGGCAATTGGGCAGCTATAATATTCATACTCCCAGATTTATACATTTGGGGATCTTTCCTGTCGTTCAACCCCTGTATGTCCAGGCCTAACTAGCTGGCTCTCTTACAATGCGTTGGCATATTAGGTGTGGGAAAAGTGGTACATTTCTGATCTCTGCTCCAGGAACCTTGTATTTACTTTCAGGCTAAGACTGCATAAATATAAACACTAAATATAGATGACATATTTTCGATGTAAAACACTTCATAGGACAGGAGAGTATATTTAATTTCTGTGTATAGAAATGTTTATATGTAAAAAAATTAATGTTTGTATGTATACTTGGAGCATAAGCTTTACCTTCATATTTCCTGAAACTTTCAGATGATCTCAGTTTTTCATATACAGGTCCTGTTGGTAGCTGTTTCATGTTAAAGACTTCCAGTAGTAAAAAGGTCAGTGTATCTCTGGGCTGTGATTTGTGCAGTCATTGATAGGGTTAGGCCTACACTGAATCCAGTAGATCACTTAACGATCACATATTATTTTCTCTGATAAAGTATTAGATGCAGTTTGTTCTCGGGAGTCTCTGATGTGGTACCTGAATGGGGGGGGGTCTCTCAGTCAGATGGGGGCCCCCAAATGTGGAGTGACAATTTGGTAGAAGACTGTGGCACAGAGGGTGAAAGAATTCACCTGAGGCAGAAAGAACAAAGGAGATAGAAGTTTATTGAATACACAGCAAAGGAGCAGGTGGTTGGACAGGAGAGGAGGAGCTTTCTGCAGTGAGGCTGTGGGAGGGGGCTGTTTGTCAGGAGGGGAGGTGAGGATGTATGGCGATGTATGGAATTTTACCTTTTTTGGTAACTGTGCCTGGTTATAAGTTGCCCGTTGGTTATTTAGGACCTATGGCTACTTCAGGGTGGGTTGCCTAATGGTCCTGTCTGTATTCAGCCAGGTAGTCACTGTGGCCCTTTCTTCATTTCATTGTTCAAGCCTGTTTGCCTAAAAGTGGACTTCCCCCCTGACAGATTGACAATGACAAATCTTTGGCACTTGGGCAAGGTCTCTTCAATAGCTTCATCCTGCTGAATGAGGGGTATAGATCTGTCCTTCCCTACCTAAATTGTCAGTCCATCAGGGTTTTTGTACAGTTATAGACCAGAGTGTGGCATTACATTAACATGCTGGTAGGTGATTTGAGTGGAATTTCTTAGTGGCCAGGTCCATGGGATTTGTGGAGGGGACCTTCTGA